GCATCTATAATGTAACTCTCTTCGTTCTTTTTGTATGTGTAACAGTTCAGCTGAATTATGGACGTGTCATCACATGGAGTTATGAAGATCTTTAAAGAAACTGTGATATGACTGAAACATGTCTACATGTCTAAAGGCTACATGCTTTTACATAACTTAATACTTGTATTCATTAATATATTAAAATATTGGATAATTAATATTATTTAAATAATAAAAAAAAAACAAGAAAATCCGGAAACACTGACACAACTGGATGAAATAAACAAACAATTTCTTAATAATTCAGTCAGGGTGGTTAAAAAGCACGCCAGCATGAGTCATACTAATCAACATTTACTTTTCCTAATAATCCTCGCTTCATACGAACGTTTGAAATGTGCTCGTCGGCGAGTTAGAACGTGTCTCAGGATTTCTTTCTTTTTTTAAAAGCAAAAGAATACGAAGGCGGTGAGGAGGGGTCTCTCGCATGCGACCCTGACACATGACCGTGCGTAGATATCAGGCCACAGAACCGCCATCAGCACTCCCAGCAGCCTGCAAGGTCTAAACGCAACACTCGAGAAATGACTCAGTGTGCTGAGCCAGCCCGATTCAAACACAGACGACATGATTCCACTTTCCTTTTCTCAAAGTCGCACACGCTGACGCACGCCGTAATCACCGACATGACCTTCGAGCCTGGAACCGGGATCGACTCGATCGGTCTCACTTCCTTTCCTGTAGCAAAACACACACCCGGGGAACAATCCCCACCATCCGAGGAGTCCTCCGAAGATGAGACGAATCCGCGAGCGAGCGACAACCTACGTTGCCGCCTCTACAGAAACCCTGTATTCATTAGTGTGGTGGAATGCAAAAGTTTGCACACCCTTCTAACATAACGGAAACAAGGATTTACAAGTAATTTACACCAACTTATCTTTAAACAGATTTTTAGTGTTGGGTTTCCACAAAGACTTCTCAGCGATCACGGGTTACATCGTGCCCGTTGAAACATTATCGGCGTAACATTCCGGAACATCCAGATGTGCAAATCAAACTCTCTTTCTCTCGGTTTCACCGTACGGTTTAGACGACTCACTGGTCTGCATACAGACGTTCACGTTTCTGTGTAAAACCACACCGTCGTGGTTCTCAAAGTGGGATCCATAAAAAATAAAAAGCCCAGGAGTGCTGTGAATTTCAAACACTACTCCTAATAATAATAATAATAATAATAAATAATAATAATAATAAACATCAGTCATATTATCATCGAGTCGAACGGATTCGATCCAAAACGGCAGGCAGTAATGCCGTCGAAACAACATTAACCCGGAGGATGGAACGTTCAGGGACGAACGAACAGCCGAGATATGACCGTACACATTTAACATCCCGAGTATCAAGACTAATATTTGGGATCATAATCAGAGAAGGTCCAAGTTCAATTCTTTTTGATCCCTGACTGTAGGACGTCTACCAGAGCTGTCTACAGGGGGGTGCAAACTTTTGCACTCACACACACCGGCCAACAACTCAAACACTACCTGAGGGAGTTAGACTTGTTCTTTGTTATATGTTTGATTGAATTGAACCACGGATTTAAGAAAAAAAAAACCCAGTAAGAAGAGAGAGAGCTATAGGGAGTGGTACGCAGCAGCAGCGCGGTCAGTTCTGGCTCCTCAACGACGTCAACATTCAGAAAGCAGAAGCTGAAGATCTCTCACTTCTCCTCTCCTCCCCCTTTTTTATTTATTTATTTTTTTTAAATATAAATTAAAAAAATGAAAGAAATATAAACCCTGTAATTAGCACCGCGCGTCTGTTTACACCAAGCACTCTGGCCATAGTTTCACAGCGCAAGTCTGTCCCACACAGCAGCGCGAGCTAACCAGCTAACTACACCCACACTCAACCAGGTTAACTAGCTGCTTACCGACCCAGCTGGAGAACTTCCTCCTGGAGAGAGACACGGGATAATAAACCCGTCCTGTTCTCCTAGGAGAGCACCATTTAGTCGAGCTAGCTAAGGCGGCTAACACGGTATAGCGTAACAGGTTAGCATCTAGCAGCTGACGCTCGGGACATGATGACACAGGCGATTTAGTCCAGCGAGCAGAATGACCGCCGATGTGTTCATACCTTTATATAGATAATAGATTACAGATTAATACAGATCTATATTGTCGTGTCGATACACTCAATCCGAATTTACATTACCTTAGGAAACGCTTCGCAAAATGGTGATGGAGCGGAATTTCCCTTTTCGCCGCCCCAAGACGTCTCTAGTCCAGCCGACGTGCCCCGGCCTTCACTTCCGCCTGTGGGAACTGACTTCCGGATCCGCCTACTTCCGGGTGGAGGGAGGGACTGCGGCCATGATCATTTCGGCCGGTCTATGTAGTGTAGTAAACGAATAAATAAGAGGCGTGTTTAAATAAATAAACAAATAAATAAATACATTAATTAATTCATTCATTGATTAATTTACATAGGGGTGTCACAGTTATTTTAGGTAAGGGTTAGTGAGGGTTAGTTTCAATTAATAAATTAATTAATTAATTAATTTACATAGGGGTGTCACAGTTATTTTAGGTAAGGGTGACCTGGTGAGGGCTAGTTTAAATAAATAAATAAATAAATTTACATAGGGGTGTCACAGTTATTTTAGGTAAAGGTGTCCTAGGGAGGGTTAGTTTAAATTAATAAAGAAAGAAATTAATTAATTAATTAATTAATTTACATAGGGGTGTCACAGTTATTTTAGGTAAGGGTGACCTGGTGAGGGCTAGTTTAAATAAATAAACAAATAAATAAATTTACATAGGGGTGTCACGGTTATTTTAGGTAAGGGTGTCCTAGGGAGGGTTAGTTTAAATAAATAATTTTTTTTTTTTTTTTTTTTTTTTTTTTTTTTTTTTTTTTTTTTTTTTTTTTTTTTTTTTTTTTTTTTTTTTTTTTTTTTTTTTTTTTTTTTGTTTTTTTTTTTTTTTTTTTTTTTAATTATTTTTTTTTTTTTTTTTTTTTTTTTTTTTTTTTTTTTTTTTTTTTTTTTTTTTTTTTTTTTTTTTTTTTTTTTATAAAAAAAAAAAAATTTTTTAAATAAATTAAAAAAATTTTTTTTTATTGTGTGTGTTTTTTTTTTTTTTTTTTTTTTTTAAAAAAATAATTTATTTTTAAAAAAAAAAAAAAAAAAAAAAAAAAAAAAAAATAGGGGGGGGCAGTTTTTTTTGGTAAGGGTGACCTGGTGAGGGCTAGTTTAAATAAATAAATAAATAAATTTACATAGGGGTGTCACAGTTATTTTAGGTAAGGGTGACCTGGTGAGGGCTAGTTTAAATAAATAAATAAATAAATTTACATAGGGGTGTCACGGTTATTTTGGTAAGGGTGACCTGGTGAGGGCTAGTTTAAATAAATAAATAAATAAATTTACATAGGGGTGTCACGGTTATTTTAGGTAAGGGTGTCCTAGGGAGGGTTAGTTTAAATAAATAAATAAATAAATAAATTTACATAGGGGTGTCACGGTTATTTTAGGTAAGGGTGTCCTAGGGAGGGTTAGTTTAAATAAATAAATAAATAAATAAATAAATAAATAAATTTACATAGGGGTGTCACAGTTATTTTAGGTAAGGTTGTCCCAGGGAGGGTTAGTTTAAATTAATAAAGAAATAAATAAATAAATAAAATAATTAATTAATTTACATAGGGGTGTCACAGTTATTTTACGTAAAGATGACCTAGTGAGGGTTAGTTTAAATAAATAAACAAATAAATAAATAATAAATAAATAAAAAAATTTACACAGGGGTGTCACCGTTATTTTAGGTAAGGGTAACCTAGTGAGGGTTATCAAGGTGACCATATGGTATTTGGACACTTAAGGGAGGAGGAGAGGGAGGGAGGAGGAGGAGGAAGGGGAGTGCGGGTTTCAAGGTGGCATCGTGGCAGTGTGTGTGTGTGTGTGTGTGTGTGTGTGTGATGGATATTTAGTTGATATATCCTGATATATAATATATTGATATATTCCTTCTTCAGGGTCACGGGGAACCTGGAGCCTATCCCAGGAAGCATCGGGCACAAGGCAGGGTACACCCTGGACAGGGTGCCAGTCCATTGCAGGGCTAGTTGATATATATATAGTTTTTCCGCAAAACTTGTGGTAGCACACAATAGTCCGGGGTGAAAATGGTACATGGTAAATGGTCTGCACTTATATAGCTTTTATCCAAAGCGCTTTACACTGTGTCTCATTCAGCCATTCACACACACACTCACACACACAGTCAGACATTGATTATAAAAGAGCTGCCAGACAAGGTGTTAACTTGCCATCGGGAACAACTTGGGGTTCAGTGTCTTGCCCAAGGACACTTCGGTATGTGGAGTCACGTGGGCCGGGAATTGAACCGCCAGCACTATGATTAGTGGACAACCCGCTCTACCACCTGAGCCACAGCCGCCCAAAGGGATGTCTTTGTATGCTGTAGCGTTTCAATTTCCCTTCCATCATGGCAATGCCCCGTGCACAAAGTGAGGTCCATGAAGACTTGGTTTGCCGAGGTGCGACCTCACAGAGCCCTGACCTGACAGAAACGGGAGGACACATTATGAATTCCAAGTGGCACAGGGTGTCAAAATGATTGCACCTACAGTAGGCATCAAGGATATATTGGATATAATATATAAATGTATTGCTTTTGTATCATACAATTGTGCTGGAGATACTTCATACCTTCAACTATTATCAAGGTTGTCCATCCATCCATCGATCTTCTATAAAGCTTATCCTACGCTGGGAACCTATCCCAGGGAGAATCGGGCAGAAGGTGGGGTGCCCTGTACCCTGGACAGGGTGCCAGTCCATCACAGGGCAGATTCACATATCACATACTCATACACTACGGACACTTTAGACACGCCAATCAGCCTATCATGCATGTCTTTGGACTGGGGGAGGAAACCGGACTACCCGGAGGAAACCCCTGCAGCACGGGGAGAACATGCGAACTCCACACACACAGGAATCGAACCCAACCCTGGAGGTGTGAGGCGAACGTGCTAACCACTGAACCACCATGCGCCATATCAAGATTGTCATGGTTATTATTTAGGTCACTTTCCTGCCAGTTCACACACACACACATACACACGCACATACACACGCACATACACACGCACACACACACACACACACATTCACTCCTAGGGGTGATTTGTCTTAATCATCAGTTCACATACGAGCATATTTTTGGGCAGAGAGAGGAAACCAGAGGAGGAAACCCACAAGGCCACAGAGAAAACATGCAAAGAAACAGAAAGATGGTCAATTAGCTTAAACAGCTAGTATATATCCATGAATTAACTAAAATTATATTTAGATTTATATTGTTATTGAAAGTTTAAAGCTTTTATTATTCATATATATTATCTTTATATATTCTTTTCAAAATGATAAAGCTACAAAGCTATTTAAACTTCATGGTTACTCTTACTGAAATGTCACTCAAATAAATGACCCACATAAATAATCACATGATTTTCATGTGAATCTTACAAATATATATATATATATATATATATATATATATACATTACCTACATTTAGGACATTTATTTTTCATGTCATCACATATAATTCACACGATCTCTTGGTTAACTTGAGTTCACGTGCAATTTCATGTTGAAATGCACCGTCATGTGTTTCCTGTGATGATCCTGATATTACTCACATCATCACAGGTGAAGAACGTCTGATCACGTGATGTGAAATGTGACTGTCCATCTGAAATATCAACATGCTGTGAAATGTGACGTTTACTTTATTCCTAAGGGGAATTAATTCCTACTTATTCTTCTTAGTTATCAATGTAATTGCCAATTCTCACCTTAGGATGGTGCTACATACATGTACTACCCACAAGGACATTCTTCAGATTCTTTCTCATTATGTGTCTCTGCTCGACTTCCCATTTTAGTGAGTGTAAATATCGAACGTACGCTGTCTAATAGCTTATTTTCCACCCACTCGCACTCTGTCAAACATAAACGCTGCTAATTACTACTAAGGCTGAAGGAGAGCTGGCAGTAGGCTATAATTAAAACGAAATCTCGCAACTTTCACCCACCATCTGCTTTATGCCATTAATAAGGATTTGGATAAGGATGCTCAAAGATACGAACTGTTTTTTCTTGCAAGAATTTTGTTCTCTGAAGAGGATCGTGTGATTTACAGTACAGCCTGTCTCCAATGATAGAATTTAATCTGAGCTGTTTCTTCTATGGCAGATGTTAGTTGCAGCTGGGTGGACATAAGAATGTATTCTATTTCAAATCGATTTAGCCAATTCCCACTGTCCATCTGGACATATGAGCATCTGTAGCATACAGTATGTGTGATTACCACAGACAAGAATTTCAACACATTTCCCTGCACCGAGAAAACAACTGAAAACCTGCTTACTTGACATTTGCTTGCAATGAAAGTCTAACAGCGGCTGTCGGGGAGTCAATATGTAAGGCATAAACTCACAACAGGACTGTTATAGAAAAATAATCAACAACAGGCTAGACTCACGAAGTTACATTTACAAGCCGAAAGTCGATTATTTTCCTCTGACAGTCTTTTCAGTGTTTTATTGTATTGTATGTTAAAGCATTTTATAATTTGCTCATTTGCTTATTAATCAACAACACATCGTACTTTTAATCGTTTATAGTTATACTGAATGCTGTGGAACGTCCAGAAAACTATTTAGTCCCTGTTTACACGTACGTTATAGCAGCTATAAATAGTTATTCCCGCTTTCAAAAGAAAGCAAAAAGTAAAGTCCTCTGTACCGTGAACTTTCCCGTGGTGGAAAACGTTCTGACTGCTGACTGTTGACTTCTCAAATCTGATTGGTCAGAAGGTGTTGATTCGTTTTCTATAACAGCAGTTCTGCAAGGCAAATCACTAGTTTATATTAATGCACTCGGCACGCACGACGGTGGCTTAGTGGTTAGCACGTTCAGGGTCGGGGGTTCGATTCCTGTCGTGGCCCTGTGTGTGCGGAGTTCGCATGTTCTCCCCGTGCTGCGGGGGTTTCCTCTGGGTACTCCGGTTTCCTCCAGTCCAAAGACATGCATGGTAGGCTGATTGGCGTGTCCGTAGTGTATGAATGGGTGTGTGAGTGTGTATGTGATTGTGCCCTGTGTTGGATTGTGTACCCCACCTTGTGCCTGATGCTCCCTGGGATAGGTTCCCCGCAACCCTGTAGGATAAGCGGTATAGGGATAGATATTAATGCACTCGTTCTAATATGTTATCGTTTCAATAAAAATTTAACAAAGAAGATCATATAAACATATCATCATCGATGGTGCTGGTTTTCTGTAAGGAGATGTGGAGAGGCTGTTTAATATATTGTGGGAGTTACTGTATCACTTCACTTATGGAAGGAGTCTTCAGTGTCAGCGCTTTGTAGCTTTGTAACATTTTTAGGACTTTTTAGCATTGATCATTTTCCAATTTCTCTGTAACATGACAAGCTGCATATTTTTGTCTTATTCATTCCAAGAGAGAGAGAGAAAATAAATAGAGTCTGGTGAGAGAGCAGTTAATAGAACCTGTCCAATAGAAGTGATAACAGGAACTCATGGATGTTCCGCAGCATTAAAAGTAATTATAAAAAATTTATTAAAAAAGCATGACGTCACTCTTTAATAATAACCGATGCAAAAAAGGATCATTTTACGGCAAAATCGCATGGTAATTAAACACTTCAAGATGTGTTGCTGGAAAATACTGGAAGACTCCGCATCCAACCATGGCATTGTTGATTATTTTCCTAGAACGGCACTTCTCTTCTGGGGTTGTTTTCTTCCTCATTAAATTCAATCAGGTCTTATATGGTTTTCACCGCAGAGATTCGTTTGAATTTATTATGCATAGATGCTGTGCAAATGTTCTTCATTTTTCTCCCCTGTACATTTGCACCAGTGCCTTTCTTCTTTGTCTTATTAATTTGATTTGTGACCGTGTGCCGTTATGCCTACACGGATCTAGTTTTAATGCTTGTTTATTTCTTTCGGGCCCGCCACCACCCCCTCACTTCGGGGGACCATTAAGACTTTATTTATTTTTATTTCATTCATGTTTTCAGATGTGTTGTACTTTGTATTTAAAGGTTAGTATGGGTATAGGACATGGGGAGGACAGTTATTAAGACGGAGCAGTAGACAAGACAAGACAGTAGATGCGATTGGGATATGGTTGGGCGGGTATGGGCGGAACCTATGGGAAGGGGCGTACAAAGCGTAATATATGAAATGTTAGTTAATATGTATATTCTATGAATGGCGTATGCATGTGTGTGAGTAATTTAGCTACGTGTGTTCGTGAGCATCGTGTTTGAGATGTGCAGGATCTATTTTGATTGCTAATGAGAAGGGCAAAGGAGAAAATTAAGTGTTTTCATACACAGAGCCTGTGTATGAAATGTTCCAATATCGAGGCAATGTCTTTTTTTTATATCATGTACTGATCAATTATAAACTACAACCATGGTCCTACATAAAGCAGCCGCCATCTGTGAAGCAAGTTCTCATGCTGTTCCTTTACATGATATGTGAAAACATGAAACCTTGTGATCTTGTGTGGATACCATAGTTACAGGACAAACGCAGATAGTCAAAGAAAAAGCAAATGAGAGAGAGAGAGAGAGAGAGAATGAAAGATAGAAAAAAAAAAGTTCAAAGCTCAACCTGTTAGTGATAGTGTCCACCAGACAGACGACCTGCGTGGGAAGCTTCCTGCATTAAATCCTGTGTTTTTGTCTGACACAACGTGCTTTTGGGAATAGGGGGAATATGACAGGAAGTAAACAAGTAGTTGTGTAATGCTCTCAACGGAGTTATGCCTCAAATCACGACTCACCCACAGAGACCGCTGATCAGGGAAACAAACTGTGTTTGTGCAAAAATGCAGCATGTTTAATATTTTTTCCCCCATACAGTACACTTTAATCAGCGTTCGATGCAATGAAACGGTACTTGACTTTACAGAGCAAAAAGGAAAAAATAATTCTGTTCTTTAAATACAAATAGGACACCTAAATGCAGGCAAACACATGTTCATCATTTTAAGATGATTCACAAACCCTTTAAAAATGTCAGAAGGGTCAAGTTTATGTTTGTTAGATTTTTACGGTCAAAAAGCCTTAAAATGCTGTAAGAAATCAGCATGACATGAAATAATTAATAAACAAAAAAGAAATGAATATGAAAATAGAATCCTCACACACCTTCAAGAACTTTATTTATTTATTTTTCATTAGAAAGTGCGAAGGATAATATTAATGCAGCATTTAATAACTCAAACGATAAGCTACTCGAAGCATATAATGGCACGTCTTACAAATATTCCCTTCTGCCGCCGTGCTGTGATCTGAGCAACACAAGCAGCGAAAGAACGAAATGCAGAAAGCACAGAAGGAAATATCTCGAACATGCAGTGTGGAAATTTAATTAGCACAGCATTCCTTGTGCCAGTATTGGCTTCTCGATAATACATTTACTTTAGGCTGTACAAAGGAACTCAGGCAGCATATCCACAGGTGAAAAAGTTAGCATGCGTTCCAGAAAATATTTTTAAAGCAGACCCTTGATCAACTCCCACTGCAATCTCAATCGCACAGGCGGTTCAGAACAACATGTACCATATTACTTGCTCAAAATGCATCAAACCCTGTTGAGCAATCCATTTGTACTACTTCTAACAGGAAATTATATGTTAAAATAATCCTTTTCAGTCTAGAAAATGACAGAGTGTAGTAGCTTTTGTATTTTATTCTGCTAGCTAGATAGATAGCAACCTGTGGCGTTAGCTAGAGCTGGGGTGCTCGATCCTGGACTCGGACTCGAGTCTTATCATGAACGAACTCGGACTTGTCACGCACCCTGGTAAATTTGTACTCGAACTTGGACATTTTGGACTCGGTCATTTTTCCGAGTAGCTACAGTCGAGTCTGTGGGGTTGCAGGGGTGGTGGAGCTACCTCCCTGACATGAGTTTTGCAGAGTGGGGTGTCAGCATTAAAATAAG